CTCCTGGACGCCAACCTGGACGGTGCCCTCAGCAACGAGGAGCTGCAGCGGGTCATGAACTTTGTGAAGGTGCGCAAGCGGAAGATGGGGCAGCGCCCAAAACTGATGCACCCCGAAGGGTAATTTTACTAGGCAGGTGGTTCCTCTTGGCCAGGCGCCTGTGTTCTTCTGCGGGTTCCTATGTTTGGTGGGACTGCTTTCTGTTCTAAGGGTGGTTCCAGTTGGTTGAATTGGAGTTATAGTAAAACCCTACATGAACCTTCATGAATTACAAGCGGATCAGATCCACAAGTCAATCGGTGTTGGGCGCTGCTCGCATGCGCAACTTACACTACGTGTGTCCGAAAGTCATGTGTCTAAAGTCTGATGTCACGCCTTGGTGAGGCACAAGGGCAATAGCACTTTGTTTGCCCAACGCACATGTCACACGGTCGCCGTGTTGGCCACAAATCTCCGGGCTCCTCACAAGATACATGTTTTCTTTATTTAAAACATCAAATTGTCCAAACCAGAAGGAACCACATGTTTGTAGGGGTTCTGTTCAGGTGAGTGGGATAAGAACCGCATTGCTAAACGATAGAGTGGCTAAGGGGTCTTGCATGTCCCCTTTCTGGATGGTTTAAGATAAACATGACCTGTTTGGTTGCCAAGGGGAGGGTGGAAGCTTGTGCCAATCACTCACTATTGAGAGGCAGAGCATCATTGGGGAGAGGGTCCACATCCATTCAGCGAGCCCTTGTACATTTTTCAGCTGGCGGGGAGGGCCTCATGACTTCCAGTTGGGGATCGTCCATGGCATTTGGACAGGCGCGAATGGATCTCCTCTTCAGAAGGGCATCTCGCTTGCATCCTTTCGTCTGTGCCTTGTGAGACGCATCATCGCACTCGGCTGCATACATTTGGATCTTGGGCCCCAGCCGAGGAACAAGACAAGAAGGACTGCCGCAGCTCCTTGAGTTGGTTTTCTTAGTTCTGTTCATGGCGTCGAGTACATGCACATGGATTGTGGTGGTCAGGGCCGTCTTCAAATACGCAAACTCTGGGTGAACGCACTGTACAGATGCCTTGCGTTGGATTCAGGGAACCTTGATCCATGTGCATTTCCATGGGGCCGTTCTTCATCGGCAGGACGAGCTGAAGAACCCGTTCAAGAACCAACCGGCCGAGCAGGCCAAAACCGACAACGAAAAGAATTACAAGGTCGCGTGCTTCGGTTTGAAGGCACGGGGCACGGACATGGAGCGCCTCGTGTGGGATGGAGGTTCCATGGACGGGTGCTGCAGGAGAAACGGTTGGCAGCTCATTGAAAGGTTTGCCGTAAGTTGCTGCTTTGCGGCTGGGCTTCGCTTAGCAAGCTGGTTATGTTGAATGCCAGGCTAATGCCTGCTCTTCAATTTGTAGGGAATCTGTGAGCAAGCAGCTAGTGTTGGAATTCATGCGGCCAACGAGTGGATCGGTTGAGCAGAGGTTTCAGAGCTCGGACTGAAAGACGGGCGATAAACACATGTGTTTTTTTGCAAGGGGACCTGGGGGAGCACAAACCGTTCGAAGCCTACGGAAAGGGCGGACAAAAATGGTCTCCTCGATTTGCACTGAGACCTGGCTGCTGTGATAGGCGTTTATTGAGAGCATCCTTCGCATTGGCCTGGGTCATTTGAGCTTCCACGGCACGCCCGAGCAGTCCACCCTGCCTGCGCTCACCAAGGCGAGTTCTTACAGCGAGTTTGCCTGCTTTTTGCAAGCAGCTTCACAGAAGGATACAGTAGCTGTGGTCCCATGTCTTGTTCAAATTATGCAGTGTGAGGCATGGGCTTTCTTCGCGGTTGAAACTTAGCGGAAAGTGCAAATGGCGCGAACACCCGGCAAGGAGTTTGAGATGATTGTGTTGCAATCCCCCACCCCATGTCTGATTTATCTGCCATCTACCAGAAGCTCGCTTTGTTGCTTTGACATACGGTTTGGCACACGACTTTCCGCTAGAATCAGAAGCTGTCAGATGCAAACAAGCATCAGTTGGGGGCCCCAAGCGCTTCAAGCTGACATGTGAGCAACACAACTCTGTGGATGGACAAAACCTGTTAGGCCACGTCAGGCCTGCATACTATTTGCTCCGTGTGCATTTGGGATACCTCCGTCAGCAACCTGAAGGAAACCTGACGCTTTTCCTTTCGCAAACACGTTAAAACACTATGCCGTTTACACGGAAAAATCTGTTTAAATACGTTTGAAGTTGTGTAAACCGTTTAAACACTTCCTGCGTATCCCGGCGTTCCCGTTTGTCTGCGTTGTCTGCGGCATCAGCAAGTTTGCTTGCGCTCGCTGGCTCCCAGTACTCGCGGGCCCAACAAACGCAGATGCGCAATGGAAGACGCATGACCAGGATCAGGTGAATGCTGAAGTGACCCTTGCAAAAACGTCCAGCTGCCGTGCTTTGCAGTGCATGCGGCGTGCTTGAACAGCCTTCCGTTCAAGCATGCATGCAGGCGCCGCAGGTGCGTAC